CATTCTAAGAGCCGCACATATTTATTCTAAGAGCCGCACACATTTATTCTAAGAGCTGCATAAATTCATTCTAAGAACCGCACATATTTATTCTAAGAGCCGCACACATTTATTCTAAGAGCTGCATAAATTCATTCTAAGAACCGCTCATATTTATTCTAAGAGCCGCACACATTTATTCTAAGAGCTGCATAAATTCATTCTAAGAACCGCTCATATTTATTCTAAGAGCCGCACACATTTATTCTAAGAGCTGCATAAATTCATTCTAAGAGCCGCACATATTTATTCTAAGAGCCGCACACATTTATTCTAAGAGCTGCATAAATTCATTCTAAGAACCGCTCATATTTATTCTAAGAGCCGCACACATTTATTCTAAGAGCTGCATAAATTCATTCTAAGAACCGCTCATATTTATTCTAAGAGCCGCACACATTTATTCTAAGAGCTGCATAAATTCATTCTAAGAACCGCTCATATTTATTCTAAGAGCCGCACACATTTATTCTAAGAGCTGCATAAATTCATTCTAAGAGCCGCACATATTTATTCTAAGAGCCGCACACATTTATTCTAAGAGCTGCATAAATTCATTCTAAGAGCCGCACATATTTATTCTAAGAGCCACACACATTTATTCTAAGAGCTGCATAAATTCATTCTAAGAGCCGCACATATTTATTCTAAGAGCCGCACATATTTATTCTAAGAGCCGCATAAATTCATTCTAAGAGCCGCACATATTTATTCTAAGAGCCGCACATATTCATTCTAAGAGCCGCACATATTTATTCTAAGGGCCGCATGCGCTTCCGGGGCTTTTTGCTTGCCCCAAGCACTGCTCTAACCAGTGAGCATGAAGCCGTAGGAATGGGACTATACGATTAGTGCACCTCAAAGCCGAGCAGACAGCCAATGTTGCGTCAATAGCATAGACTTAGATGATATAAAATAACATCTGAATGATGTTAACACGTTGGGACTTGTCGAATACAAAAATTATTACTGGATTTTTACATATTATTTACACATACTGCAATTTTTACATGTTATTTACACATACTGCAATTTAAAAAAACACCAAAAAAAACAACAGAAAAAATCATTATTTACACATTTTTTTTCTCCAATTTTAACCGACCTATTTGTAAATATCAATTAATTTGTAACACAAAAAAATGACATGTTATGTTTTTAAAAAAAATGAAATGTCTCTTGTTATAAATTATATGTGCATTACAATTTACATAGTATGTTAAAACTATAGTGGGAAATTAATGTGTATATAAGTAACTGGAGCTAAAACTGAACATGCAAAACTAATTTTTGTTGAAATTTGGGAGAAAATAGTTGGTTATAAGTTGTAAACTTTTAACAACCAAATTTATCACAGACGTAAGCCCTGGGCAATAGCTGCCCAAAGAGTAAATTAGTCGTTTCAGTTTTTTGGTGTAAAAATATTACATTTGTAAACTGGCCGCATTTTTTCTCAAATTTTTTTTCTTCTTAATTGTCATTGTGAAATTTCAATTTCTTGTCATAAAATACATGGGTCGATGTCGCACTCAAGAACAAAAGAAACGCAAAGACATAAAATCTCACTTCGTGGTAAGTCTTATGCATTATATATAACCAGCGGACTGCTATGATGAGATGTAGTAACAGAAAACATAACATCCCTTTTAAGTGTCGTGAAATATACATGACCAGCGTCAGCAATGACATGAAAACTGATCGATATATACTGTTGAATCTGGGTTGGGGAGGGAGGGGGCACTTGCGTGACGCCTACAGAGCTATGACGTGCACATTTTTGAGTCCTGACGTTTAAGGACTTGCGGGCAAAAAATAATATGGTAAATTTGGGAAGAAAAGGGGGGGGGGCGATCAAGTTGTAAACAAGGAAATAAATGTGAGTAAGGGGGACGTATGAAAAAGTATATACAGTATTAAGATCTTGTTCACCATTTTGTTTTTTGTTTTTTTAAATTTTAATTAATTTTTTAC